CTTCTCTGACCATTGAGTCTAAAATCTCAGCATCATCAACCTGATGTTTTGTATTTCTTTTACTGCTTTATCATAATCTTTTCTGCATAACTCTTACCTAGAGCTGATCCTTTTCTCATCCATCTCTTGTTCTATGTATTTAAGGGTTTCTTTACTGTCTGTTTCCCCCACCACAATGTAAGCTCCATAGAGGCAGAAAATTTGTTGGTTAAAAAAAAAGGAGAAGAAAAGAAAATTTGTCGGTTTTGTTTCTGAACTAAAGCAAAACTGCCTGGATTTGAATTCCAGCTCTACTCCCCAGCTGTGTGACCTTGGACATATTACTTCACCTCTCTGGGCTTCACTTTCCTTATGGTAAAACATAATAAATGGTACCTAATTTATGGGGTTGTTGGGCTTTTAAATGCCAAGTGCTTAGAACAGTGCCTAGAACAGAGTAAAAAATATGTAAATGATCATAGTGATGGTGGTGATAATGATATTATTTTTATTTTTATTTTAAAGATTTTATTTATTTATTTGTCAGAGAGAGAGAGTGAGCACAGGCAGACAGAGTGGCAGAGAGAGAAGCAGACTCCCTGCGGAGCAAGGAGCCCTATGCGGGACTTGATCCCACGACGCTGGGATCATGACCTGAGCTGAAGGGAGCTGCTTAACCAACTGAGTCACCCAGGCGTCCCAGATAATGGTATTATTATTTTTTTTTTAAGATTTTTTTTTTAATTTATTTGACAGATCACAAGTACGCAGAGAGAGGCAGGCAGAGAGAGAGAGGAGGAGGAGGCAGGCTCCCTGCTGAGCTGAGAGCCCGATGTGGGACTCGATCCCAGGACCCTGAGATCACGACCTGAACCGAAGGCAGAGGCTTTAACCACTGAGCCACCCAGGCGCCCCAATAATGATATTTTTATCATCATGTTCACCCCCTCCCCACCATGGGGATTAGGGTTCCTGGATCGTATTGGAAAAATTTTTGGAATGAATGAGTGAATAAGTGGGGGGAGTGAATGGGGGACGCCCTCCTAAGGCCCATGATGTGGAGCAGACCGGGCCGGGGTCACTTGGGGATCACCTGGAAGCGCAGGATGATGGTCCAGACTAGCCCCAAGGTCAGCCGGTGGTTCCCATCCACAATGTCATGCGACCCCACGTTTTCCAGGTGCACGCGCTGCTCCTTCAGAAACTGCAGCGCCTTGTCCACGTTTTCCAGCGAGTGGATCCTCATGCGACCGCGCGTGGGTCTTGGCTAGGGTGGCAGGGGCGTTGGGGGGCGGCCTGGCCAAGAACACTGGGCCCTCGGCCTCACCCCTTCCAAAGAGGCCAGCCCCATAGCCACGCCCCCTGGGTGCCCAAGCTCAGGCCACGCCCCCGCAGTCTTTTTGAGGACCAGGGACCCCATCCTTTTTAAAAGAAGCCCTGCCCCTTCCTGTAGCCAGACTCTTTTCTTTTCTTTTCTTTGGCCAGACCCTTTCTTAAGAGCCCGTTCCCTTCTAGGCTCATTCTAATTCCTGTTTCCACCCATTTAACTGAACCTCCTCCTCCGACCTGATACACACCTCTTATCAAGCCAGTAACCCTACTCCCGCCCCTCCCCATGGAGGTCTGCCCCAGGCCACCTTGGTTTGGCCACTGGATCCTTGGTCACACACCCCCACCCCCAACCCCACCCCACCCCCCGCGCCTCCCTCTCTCAGGTCCTTGCCAAGAGCCACGCCCATTTCCCCCAGGTCTCTCCTTGTTTACAGCGCTAGCATTTCCAGTGGCCTTTGTTTCTATTCTCTAGCCATGCCACTTACGATTTCTGAGCTCCTTTACCAAATCTCTAGTTCCGTCAGAATCCCACCCTTTGCGATGAAGCCTCATCCACGCCCAGAAATACAACGGCAACCGATACCACAAGCCAAACTCACACCAGAGTTCTGTCTGGTGCCCCAGATTTCCATGACCTAGGCCTCCCCTTCCGATGACAACCGCACCCTCACCCATCGACACCCTGCAACAGGGTCCTGCCCCCATTTTATAACCCTCGGTCTTGCTACGGCGCTACGCAGGCCAGCCCCCTCTAATAAAGCCCCTCCCTTCTCCGATAGCCCCACCCCTTCCAACAGAGCTCCTCCCCACCCCATGCCCAGAGGCCGCAGGAACCACCGCCTGGACCTTCCACCGAATCCCCACTTCCGTTCCCAGCCACGCCCCCAGGCTCACTCAAGCCCCACCTCTGGGCCATAGCCCCACCCACCTGAGTACGGAGGCCGCAAACCCGCGGGGCCTTCTTGGACGTTCCAGGTATCCGTTAGCCCGACCCTGTGATAACCCAGCCCCTCTCCCAGGGTTTCGGCCTTCCCCCAGGCCCTCAGGTCTCCTCACCAGCTGCTCCCCGGACAGCACTTCCAAGAGCCGCGTGAGCACAAAGCCGTCGCGGAGGTCGGCGTAGAGGTCCACGATGTGGCAGCCAACTCGGGCGAGGTGCGAGTTCACCCACTTGGTGAAGGTCTTCTTCTGCACCGCCTCGCGTTCATCTGAAAGACGGGCTCTGAGGAGCTCCCGAATCCCCAGTACCTCCCCCTTGCAGCTTCTCCCCAGCCCTCCACTCGGGCCCAAACGCTGCTTCGGCCCAGTTTGCAACAATCAGGGCTTTGCACAAACCCTTCGCTGCCCACCTGGAGACAGGTCCTTTAAAGCTTTCCTGAGATACCACTTCCCGCAAGAAGTCTTCCCGGACTCTCATCCAGTTGGCCCTGTTCATTTTGTCAATCAATAATTGAGCACCTACTATGTTCTAGGCTCTGAATACAAACAGGCCTTCCCTCCCAGAGCTCAGTTTACTGGGGGCACAGATACTACACTAGGGAGCTATGGAAAGTTAAGGAGGGGGTGGGGCAGAATGCGAGTTGTGTTTCAGTTGTGCGGTGGAGAGTGGGGAGGGTAGGTCAGAGAGCGCAAGAATGGCAGCTCACGGGGGGGGGGGGGGGGGGCAGACTGGGGAAGCCATTCTGGAGAGAGAGGACAAGTGGAGAGGGCAGAAGCTGGGAATGGGAGAAGGGGACATACTGAAGAGTTAGAACAGATGAAAAAAATAAGACTTGGCACTGGCCAGGTGTGAGGGATGAAGAGGAAGGAATATGCTAATAAGAATGCACCCTGAGGACAGGAACCATGTCACACACACATCCGAACCCCCACCCTGTGGTAGTTGGACTGCCAGCTGGACCCCGAGTTTCCCACACCCCTAGGGCGCAGAGCAGGCAAGCGACTGCCAACAGGAGGGGGCAGAGGAATTTGTGCAGCTGCTCAACTGCTGACTCACTGACAAAGACATTGCTTGGGAACCTCTCCTACTACCTTTTCTTTTTTAAGTAGGCTCCACCAAGGGGCGCCTGGATGGCTCAGTTGGTTAGGTAGCCTCCTCGACCAAGCCCAACACGGGGCTCGAACTCCCTACCCTCAGATCAAAACCTGAGCTGAGATCAAGTGTGAGACACTCAGTCAACTGAGCCACCCAAGTGCCCATCCTTTTTTTTTTTAACAACAGCTTTAGTGTGAACTATAATTCCCATACTATAAAATTCAACCTTTCAAAGCGTAAATTCAGTGATTTTTAGTATTTTCACAGGATTGTGCAACCCGCATCACCATCTAATATCAGAACATTTTCATCCCTCCAAGAAAAAACCCTGTGCCCAGGAGCAGTCGCTCCCCATTCCCCCTTCTCCCAGCCCTAGGAAACTATTATTCTATTTTCTGTCTCTATGGATTTACCTATTCTGGGCATTTCATATCAATGGAATCATACAATATATGACCTTTTCGGTGTCTGGCTTCTTTCACTTAGTGTCATGTTCTCAAGGTTCGTCCATGTTGTGGCGTGTGTCAGTACTTTATTTCTTTTTGACGGCTAAATAATAGCCATTCCATGGACAGCCTGCATTTTACTCATCTGTTCTCCTGCGGATGGACATTGGGGTTGTTTCCACTTTGTGGCAATTATGAATTATGCGGCTATGAACATTTGGGTACCTACGTCTTTGTGTGGACACATGTTTTCAGTTATCTTGAGTATATACCTGGGAGTGAAATACTTGGGCTCTATGTTAACTCTATGGTTGACCTTTAAAAAAAAAATTATTATTTACTTATGAGAGAGAGCACACACAGACAGCAGGAGGACAGAGGGAGAGAGAGAGACAGAATACCAAGTAAGCTCCCTGCTCAACCCAGAGCCCAATGGGGGGAGGGGGGGCTCAATCTTAGGACCCTGAGATCATGCCATAAGCTGAAATCGAGAGTCAGATGCTCAACTGACCAAGCCACCCAGGCGCCTCTAGGATTAACCTTTTGAAGAACTGCCAGACTGTTTTCCAAAGTGGCTGCACCATTTTACATTCCCACCAGCAATGGACGAGGGTCCCAGTGTCCCCACATCCTCACCGCTCCTTGCTATTTCTTATCTGATCATGGCCATTAGAGTGGTATGAACCGGTCTCTTAATGTGGTTCTGATTTGCATTTCCCTGGTGACTAATGATGGTGAACCTCTTCTCATGTGTTTATTGGCCATTTGTGTATCTTCCTTGGAGAGTCGTCTATGCAAATCCTTTGCCCGTTTTTAAATTGGGTGAATATTTTTATTTATTTTTAATTTTTAATTTTTATTTATTTATTTGACAGAGAGAGCACACACAAGCAGGGGGAGCAGCAGGCAGGGGGAGAAGGAAAAGCAGGTTCTCCATTGAGCAGGGAGCCTAATGCAGGACTCGATCCCAGGACCCTGGAATCATGACCTGAGCCAAAGGCAGATGCTTAACCGACTGAGCCACACAGGCACCCCTATTTTTTCTTTTTTAAAAAGGATTTTATTTATTTCCTTGAGAGAGAGAGAGAGAGAACAAGCCAGGGAGGGGCAGAGGGAGAGGGACAAGTAGACTCTATGCTGAGTAGGGAGCCCGACGTGGGGCTTGACCCCATCACCCATGCGATCATGACCTGAGCTGAATGAAACCAAAAGCTGGACACTTAACAACTGAGCCACCCAGGCGCCCCTCGGTGAGTCTTTTTATCATCTGTACTTTCTCCGCAACTTTGTGTGGATCTATGATTATTTCCCAATTTAAAGTGTTACCAGATCAGGAAGCTACTACCTGGCCTCCCTTTCTCTTCCCCTGACTCCCACAGGCTTGAAAACAAGGTCCACAGGGCACAGGACAGAAGAAGGTTGACTGCTTGGACCAGAGCCTCCCCTGCCCATGATGCTGCTCGTGTTAGAATTATCCAGGAGGGAGACATAAACCTCTATCTCCTTTACGGTGTTGCATTGCTGGGTCTGTTGCAACGGCTCAGGGGCACGGTATGCATTTCATTACTAAAAAAACTTAATTATCATACTTCTAAGTTTCCTATTAGTGCAGGAAGCAAGATTTGAATAGCCAGTCTGTTTCCCTTTTTAACTGAAATTTCTCAATAATTTATTTTTTCAAAAAATTTACCTTTTGTAATATTTTTAATAAAGATTTTATTTATTTATTCATTTATGAGAGATAGAGCACGAACAAGCAAGTAGAGGGGAGGAGCAGAGGGAGAGGGCCAAGCAGACTCCCTACTGAGCACGGAACCAGACACGCGGCTCGATCCCACCACCCAGAAATCATGACCTGAATTGAAATCAAGAGTCAGATGCTTAAGACTGAGCCTCCCAGGTGCCCCCATGATATTATTTTTGTTATTAAGTAAACTCTACCCCCAACATGGGGCTCGAACTCATGACCCAGAGATCAGGAGTCTCATGCTGTACTAACTGAGCCAGCCAAGAGCCCTTTTTGTAATATTAAATACTGCATGTGATTCTGGCAGTGAAACATACGTACATTGCTAGAAAATATCCACTGACTGTCCTGTTTTTGTTTTGTTTTGTTTTGTTTTTTAACTTTAAACAAGATCTTGAATGTTTACTTCTCATTTGAAAGTAAATACGCAGGGGTGCCTGGGTGGCTCAGTGGGTTGGGCCTCTGCCTTCAGCTCAGGTCATGATCTCAGGGTCCTGCATCGGTCTCTCTGCTCTGTGGGGAGCCTGCTTCTCCCTCTCTCTCTGCCTGCCTCTCTGCCTACTTGTGATCTCTCTCTCTCTGTCAAATAAATAAATGAAAACTTTAAAAAAAAAAAAGAAAGTGATTATGCAGAAATTAATAGTAAATCCATAAGAAATATCTTGTTTATTTAAATTACTTGTTTATTTTAAATTACTTGTTTATCTTGTTTATTTTAATTAATTATTGGGGGCACCTGGGTGGCTCATTCAGTTAAGTATCTGCCTTCGGCTCAGATCATGATCCCAGGGTCCTGGGATAGAACCCCGCATCAGGCTCCCTGCTCAGCAGAGATCGTGCTTCTCCCTCTCCCTCTGCTACTCCCCCTGCTTGTGTTCTCTCTCTCTGTCAAATAAATAAATAAACTCTATATAAAAAAAGAAACAAAACAGTGTGGGTGGGGCACCTGGGTGGCTCAGTCAATTAAGCTTTGGACTCTTGGTTTCAGCTCAGATCCTGGATCTCACGAGCTGTGAGATCAGCCCTACAGTAGTCTGCACGCTCAGCGGGGAGTCAGCTTGAAGATTCAATCCCTCTGCCCCTCCCCCCACTCTCATGCGTGCTCACTTTCCCTCAAATAAATATTTTTCTTTTTTTAAGATTTTATTTCTTTCTTTGTTTATTTGTTTACTTATTTATTTATTTGACAGAGAAAGGACAAGCAGGGGGAGCAACAGAGGGAAAGGGAGAAGCAGGGAGCCAGATATGGGACTCAATCCCAGGACCCTGGGGTCATGACCTGAGCCGAAGGCAGATGCTTAACCGACTGAACCACCCAGGTGCCCCTAAATAAAGAAACCTTAAATTAAGGAAGAAAAAGAAAAAAGAAAAACCACAGTGGAGGTGAAACCAGATATGTCCCCAAGTGCCCCTTCTGACCTCAGATGACACTGAATGTTTACTGTGCTGGTGAGTGTGTTTGGCTACCATGCCCCTCGGGTGCCTGCCTCTACTGTTCTGCACGTGCTCTGGGTCCGGGGAGACTGCCCGTGGGGGCTGTTACGAATGAGCTCTGCAGCACTCAAAGACCTCAGACCCTGTGTTGGGTTTGGCTAGCAGGAGATTAGAGGAAAAGGGGGTAGCACACCTGGGTGGCTCAGCCGGTTGAGTGTCTGACTCTTGAGTTGGGCTCAGGTCAGGTCATGATCTCAGGGTCCTGAGATCGAGCCCTGAGCCGCGAGTTAGGGTCTGCGCTCAGCTGAAAGTCTCCTTGAGATTCTCCCTCTCTCTCTGCATGGTCTCTCTCGATCACGCAAGTAAATAAATTAAATTAAAAAAAAAAAAAAGAGGAGAAAGGAAGGGCTGAGAGATTTATTCCCTCCCTGCTTACATCAGCACCTGGTTCCTCTCTCTAAACCCCCAAGTTGGGAGCCCTCACCACTCCCTGCCCTGCCCCAGTCCCTGGTGTGTCCACTGGCCTTGTAGGTTCCCATATCCTTGGCCACACCTCTGTAATTAGTCCCTTCATTAAGTTATCCTCAATTTTACCCCCTTGAGGGGAGCCATCTGCTTCCTGCCGTGACTCTAGCTGTCCAAGCCAAATGACAACCGTCCTACCCCTGCCATTGTGTTCATAGTAAGTTGTCATTTTTTTATATAACTATTTTTTAAGATTGCATTTATTTATTTGGCAGAGGAAGGAGAAGTGTTTTTGCTGAGCAGGAAGCCTGACACGGAACTCAATCCTAGGACCCTGAGATCATGCCCTGAGCCCAAGGTAGACGCTTAACCAACTGCACCACCCAGGCATCCCGTGAGTTGTCATTTATATGTCTTCTCTGCTGTGGTAGTCCCTAGTCAGAGGCAAAACACATTTCCTTAGAATAAGATTTCAACATATTCTTCTCTTTCATACACTGAGATTTTCACAGAGCTGAGGAATAACTAACTATGCTTTTATCCATTGTGGGTTAAGGGGAAAGGCTATAGTGACACTTAGCATGTCAATGATGTTTGGCTACTGGTCTGAGAAAAGTTAGGAAGCCATGAGTAGTGGTGGAAATGTGCCTGCTGGTGGGAGTTACACACTGGGGCAGCCATCTTGGAAGCCATCAGAGTCAAATGAAATTAGGGCAAACCCTCATGACAGAGCAGTTCTTTCCCTGTGCCTAAGTCCTATAAACTTTTCCATGCTGGTTTATAGGGAGGATGGAGGAGGATGTCCAATGCAATGTTATTTGGGGGGTAGGGGGTAGGGGCAGGTTGGGGGTTCGAGAAAGCCTTGTTGTCCATCACTGGGAAAATTGGATACGGTGAGTTCATACTATAGCCTCCACGTAGCAGTTATGAGCAGTAAAGTTGAAGCACACACCGCCACATGGCTGAGCCTTTCCTTTTTTTAAGATTTTTATTTTATTTTACTTGAGAGAGAGAGGGCACAAGTGGGGAGTGACAGAGGGAGAAGGAAGAGAGAATCCCAAGCATACTCCATGATCAATGGGGAGCCTGTCCCAGGGTTTGATCCCAGGACCTTGAGATCATGACCCAAACTGAAATCAAGAGTCAGACTCTTAACCGACTGAGCCCCCCAGGTGCCCTCACATGGCTGAGTCTTAAGGTATAGTGCTGAATGGGGAAACAATGCAAAAACTGCAATCTTAGGGGCATCTGGCTGGCTCAGTGGGTAGAGCATGGGACTCTTGATCTCGGCGTTGGGAGTTCAAGCCCCATGTTGGGCATAGAGCTTACTTAAAAACAAAAACCTGCGATCTAGAATATGCTAAAACCTTCACCAGTCAGCAATGTTTGCATGCACAAATTCATGTACATAGAACTCTCGGATTTTTAACCTTGAAATTGCAGTTCAGTAGGGAAAAGAAAGTCTTTTCAATAAATGAAATGGAGTCGACTGGATTTGCATGTGGCAAAAATAAGAACCTTGACTGACACTCCACACTGTACACAGTAATAAATACAGTAAATATCAGCTGGCTTATAAGTCTAAATGTGAAAGGATCAAATAAGACCTTTAGAAGAAAACATCAAAAAATATCACCAGGGGCGCCTGGGTGGCTCAGTGAGTTTAGCCTCTGTCTTCGACTCAGGTCATGGTCTCAGGGTCCTGGGATCAAGCCCCACATCGGGCTCTCTGCTCAGCGGGGAGCCTGCTTCCTGCCCCCTGTCTGCCTGCTTCTCTGCCTACTGGTGATCTCTGTCAAATAAATAAATAAAATCTTAAAAGAAAAAAAAAGCGTTCCTTAAAAAAAAAATCTCTATGACCTTGAAGTAAGCAAAGATTTCTTCAAACACTAAGTGTTAGCCACACAGGAAATAATTATTAATGATTTGATTAGACTATATTTAAATTAAGAAATACTGTTCATCAGGGAGCCTGGGTGGCTCAGTCAGTTAAGCCTCTGCCTTCTGTGTCAGGTCATGATCTCAGAGTCCTAGGATCAAAGCCCACATTATCGGGCTCCCTGCTCAGCAGGGAGTCTGGTTCCTCCTCTCCTTCTGCCCCTCCCCCTTCTCGTGCTCTCCCTCTCTCAAATAAATAAATAAAATCTTAAAAAAAAAAAAAAGAAACACTGGTCATCAAGAGGCAACCTTGAAAGAATAAAAAGACAAGCCACACAGTGGGAGAATATATTCACAACACATCTATCTGACAAAGGACTTGTACCCAGGATATATAAGAATTCCCATAAAACAATGAGAAAAAGGAAGGAAAATTAAAATACAAATAGGTAAATGACTTGACCAGGCACTTCACAGGAAGCTATCCAAATAGTCAGTAAACATATGAAAAGCGGGGTGCCTGGGTGGCTCAGTGGGTTAAGCCTCTGCCAGGGTCCTGGGATCTAGCCCTGTATCAGGCTCTCTGCTCAGCAAGGAGCCTGCTTCCTCCTCTCTCTCTGCCTGCCTCTCTGTCTACTTGTGATCTCTGTCTGTCAAATAAATATATAAAATCTTTAAAAACAAAACAAAACATATGAAAAGCCAGTCAACTTCACTAGTTGTTATTAGTGACCAGGAAAATGTAAATTAAAACCACGATGGAATGCACACCCATCAGAACGGCTAAAATAAAAAAGACTGACCATCCGAAGGGTTGGAGGTACAGTAAGTGACTCCCTCATACACAGCTGGTGGGAATACAAAATGACACAAACTGGCAGTTTCCACTCAAGTTTGATATACACCTACCCTATGACCCAACACTTTCCCTCCTGGGTGGAAATGAAGGCTTACGCCCACCAAAAAGGTACTGTAGTAGAACATTTAAAGAAGCAACAGTTTGTAATAGTTTGAAACACCGGGAATTACGGGTTTGCAATAGTTTAGCTTGGGATAACCCTAAAAGAGGAGTAATCCTAATCCTCATCAACCTGTAAATGGATAAACTATGGCACAGGCACACTGTAGAATACTATACAGCAATGAAAAGGGAGACCCAACAAGGACAGAGAGACATGGTCGAATCTTATCAGCACAGTGGTGAGTGAATGAAGCCAGACACAAAGGGGTACATGCTTTAGGATTCTATTCATATGAAGTTCAAACACCAGTCTAACCAGGGTGTGCTCTTAGAAGTTAGCATAGTGTTTACTCTTGCGATGTAGTGAGAGAGGCAGCCTGAGGAGGGCTTCCCTGGGGCAGTCATATTCTGTTTCCTTATCTGGGGATTGGTTACCAGAGGGTGCTCGCTTGTGGAAATGCTGGACACTCACGATTTATCTGCCTTTTTGTGTGCATGTCATACTTTAATGAACAGTTAAAATATATGTATACATGCACACTAATTAGCAATGCACATTTTGCAAAATCATCGGCATGCAAAGATAATCATTTGCATTAAAACTATCAGAATGGGGGCGCCTGGGTGGCTCAGGTCATGATCTCAGGGTCCTGGGATCGAGTCTCGCATCAGGCTCTCTGCTCAGCGGGGAGCTCGCTTCCTCCTCTCTCTCTCTGCCTGCCTCTCTGCCTACTTGTGATCTCTTTCTGTCAAATAAATAAATAAAATCTTAAAAAAAAAAGCTATCAGAATGGGGGGGGCCTGATGTTTCAGTCTATTAAGTGACTGACTCTTAATTTCAGCTCAGGTCTTCATCTCAGGGTGGTGGGATCGAACCCCACAGTGGTCTCTGTGTTGAGTGTGGAGCCGGCCTGGGGTTCTCTCTCCCTCTGTCTCTGCCCCTCCTCCAACCCCGCTAGAGCACATGCATGCATGTTCTCTCTCTAAAAAAAAAAATTAAAAATAAGCAGATAGACTGTTCTTCAAACAAACAAACAAATGATTAGAATGGTTGCCCATAGGGGAGAAGGCATTGGTGTGAGATGTGGGAATAGGGGCACCTGGTTGGCTCAGTTGGTAGAACACAAGAGTTTTCATCTTGGGATTTTGAGTTCAAGCCCCACGTTGGGCATAGAGGTTCCTTTTCTAAAAATGTTAAAAAGCAAAGAGAGTAAATGAACAGATGAAGAGGAGGAGAGGATCCTCCCATAGACTGATAAGGACAACAAGCCACAAACTGGGGAACATC